GGTGAGAAGTGAGGAGGAAGAAAGGAAAGGAGGAGCGGTGGTATGGAAGGTGGGGGAGGGAGAGGAGGAAAGGAGGTGAGAGGGGGAAGGGAGGGAGAGGAAGTGAGAGGTAAAGATGGTAAGAGGGGGAAAGGGAAGAGGTAAGGATGGATGGGCGAAACAGAGAGTGGTAAGAAGGGTGGGAATGGAATAGAAAAGAGGTAAAGAAAGAAAGGGAGAAAGGTCGGGAGGTAGAAGGATGAAAACGAAATAAAGTCCTGGACAGCGGAATGAAAGAGAAGAAAAAAACGGATAGAAGGAAAAAGAAGAAAAGTAGGAAGAGAGAAAGTAAAGAAAAGGACTTCAATATAGCGCTTTCGAAACCAAAATGAAGTCAGGTTTTCATCATTAACATATTAAATGCTGCTTTAATCTCTAACTTGATATGTAATCTACGTATCACTAAAACCCTCTTTAAATTGACTATATAATTATTTTATTTCCTTTTTTCAGACAGGAGGAGGAAGAGGAAAGAGAGAGAGGGAGGAGAAAGTGAAAAGTGCGAGAAGAGAGAGAAGGGAAGGAAGTAAAAAGGGCGAGAAGAGAGAGAAGGAGAGAAGTGGAAGAAGAGAAGAAGAGTACTAAACTGAGGAAGAAGTGAAGGGGATGAAAAGGAGCAGCGGACAGGGGAGGGGACAGAGGGATGAGGTGGGGGTGTGGAGGAGGGGGAGGAGGTGACCAAGGCTTGAGTAGAAAGACACATAGTGAAGATTCCAAACACACAAAACAGATAAAGAAGGGAAACAAATATAAAAAGAAGTAATAATAATAATGACAAACACACAAATAAGAAAAAAAAATTATGTAAAAAGAAATAACAATAATGACAATGATAATTCGAAATCGTGACCACGATGTGACACTTCTACTTTTCTTGGGACATCTTCTTCGTTACTAATGATATGCCTTGACACGTTCTTTCGAGAGCTGAGAAGCACCCACGTCAGCTCTCCCCCCCCCCCCTCCTCCCCCTATACAGTCTATCCCATCCCCTCCCCACCCCCCCCCCTTATATCCTTCCTGTCTATCCCATCCCCCTTCCCCCGTCTCTCCTTCCTGCCTATCCCATCCCCCTCCCCTACCCCCTTCCCCTTCTTTCCTTCCTGCCTGCCCCATGCCATCCCCACCCCCTACCCCCTATTCCTTCCTGCCTATCCCATCCACCTCAGAGAGAGAGTGCTGGGGGAGGGGATATGCTACAATTGTTGATTTATAAATTAATTCCTCTTTTTCTTGTTTTATCGTTGTTTTGTTATCCTATCTATCTATTCTATCTACTCGTTCGTCCCGTCTAAAGGAGAAAAGAAGCATGAGTCATAGTATTGCACCGCATGTTACTCACCAAGTTTTATGAATGGAGCAATCATAATCATTGAGTTGTATTCGTATGTAGCAAGTATTCTACCACTGTGGATACTAAACGTTCATACATGCACACGTACACACAAACCTTAAACACACGTCAATAAAAGCACGGTTATATACACATAGTTTTGAGAAACCAAATAAATATATATGGACAATAATAAATAAATAAATGTAACAGAACATGCCAAAAAACAACACACTGTATACTAACCTTTTCAATCTCCATTATTTTCATTTTGCAAAACCACAACAATATAATAATAAAAAAACAAAAAGTATTCTATTTCTGCAAAATTTCAGATAAAACTTCAAAACTTCATTCCATTACGAAACACTAAGCACTTCTGATTTCCAAAACAAATCATTAAACAAAACTGTTAAGTACAAATATATCGTGACATAAACCCACCTCAGCAAAATATCTACCCCAAAATATCCTCTAATGAAATGAAAAAAAAAAAATCAAAATCTAAACAAATATAAGAAAAATAAAGATGAAAAAAATAATAACAACGCGACGAATTCTCCACCAGGCAGACACAGCCCAAGGACCCCTCACACCACCTTCACCGTCACAGACCCTACTGCTCCTCGAAGACGTAGCCGAGGACCTTCCCCTACAGCCTACAGCCTCCAGCCTTCCTTACGAGTCCTGCCACCTTGACCACTACTGTCTTGTCGCGGCCTGATCTCCCTCGAACCATAATTAAGTTGGGACCTCCAGCCTCCGGACGGGACAGAAGGCAAACCGCAGAAGGTGGATTCATTGTATTGGAGTCCCCTGAAGAAGCCTTTATCTTTCGTCTTTTCTTTTCTCTCTTTCTTTCTTCCTTCTTCTTTTTATCCGTCTTTTCTATTCTTGTTTGTATTCTTGTCTTGTTACTCTTTTCTTGGGTTTCCTCTTTCCCTCGCTCTTTTTTTTTTCTTTTTTTTCTGTTTCTATTCTTGTATGTTGTCTTTTCTTAGGATTTTTCTTTTCTTTTCTTTTCCTTTTTTACAGTTTTCACAATGGAATGAAAAATGTCTGATCTATATATGTCCTGCTCGATATATATTTTCTTAACTTTTCGTTTCATTCAAATTGTTTTCTTTGTATAGTATAGAGTTAGAGATATGACTTCGGGGAAAATAGATACGAGAGAGAGAGAGAGAGAGAGAGAGAGAGAGAGAGAGAGAGAGAGAGAAGAGAGAGAGAGAGAGAGAGAGAGAGAGAGAGAGAGAGAGAGAGAGAAAGAGAGAGAGAGAGAGGGGGGGGGGGAGACAGGGAGAGAGAAAGACAAATAACCGGGTGAATAAAGAGAGACAGAGAAAGGAAAGAAAGTCGGAAACAAAACCTAAGAAAGAAAAAGAAAAATGAGAGACACGAAGAGAAAAAAAAACTTATTAAAGGAATAAACAAATAAAGTTAAAATTAAAACAAAACAAACTAAAATGAAATATATAATACCACATATACGTCTATCAACATATCGAAACTCCTCCAGCCTTTCTACATCACTCCAGCCTCCTCCCTCCCTCTTCCCTCCAACCCCCTCCTACCCTCTCCCCCAACGCCTCCAACCCCACTAACTCCCTCCAGCTCTCCTCCACCCCTCTATCCCTCCTAACCAACATCCTCCAACCCAATCAATCCTCCACCAACCCCCTCTACTCCCTCCCAACCCACCCTGCCCAACCCCACCTCCACCCTCCACCAACCCCAGCCACCCCTCCACCAACTCCCTCTATCCCCTCCCACCTCCACCAACCCCTCTATCCCCTCCCACCTCCACCCTCCTCTAACCCACCTCTACCCTCCACCAACCCCCTCTGTCCTCTCACCACCCCCTCTATCCCTTCCCACCTCCACCCTCCACCCTCCACCAACTCCCTCTATCCCCTTTCACCTCCACTACCCCCTCTTTCCCCTCCCACCCTCCACCCTCCACCCTCCACCAACCTCTCCCTACCTCCACCCTCCACCCACCTCCAACCTCCACCGCACACATGCCCTGGCGCGGGTGGCGGCGGCGGCTCGCAACTTTACAGCCGGGCCATAAACGGTTTCACTGACCAGGCTCGGATTAAGGCTTTACCACGGCTGGATCGGGTCGGCTTTGGGGGCGCGTGACGTTTTTTTCCCTTCTTTTATTTTGTTGTTATTCTTGTTATTGTTGTTATTGTTATTATTATCAATATTATTATTATTATTATTGTTATTATTATTATTATTTTATTATTATTATTATTATTATTATTATTATTATTTTTATTATTATTAATATTATTATATTATTATTATATTATTAATTATTATTATTATTATTATTATCATTATTATTATTATTGCTATCATTATTATTATTATTACTATTATTATCATTTATTAACATTATTATTATCATTATCATTATTATTATCATTATCATTATTATTATATCAATCATTATAATTATTGTCATTATCATTGTTGCTGTTATCATTATTATCATCGTCATTGGTATCATTACTCCCATTATCATTATTACCAGTATCAGTTATCATCAGTATAATTATCATCATCATTATCATTATCATTTATATATTCTTTTATATATTCATACAAATAGATACATAGATTGGTGAATAGATATATACGTTTCCCAATCGGCTTCTCTTTTATAAGGTTGGTTTAAAGTAGAGAGAGAGAGAGAGAGAGAGAGAGAGAGAGAGAGAGAGAGAGAGAGAGAGAGAGAGAGAGAGAGAGAGAGAGAGAGAGAGAGAGAGAGAGAGAGAGAGAGAGAGAGAAGAGAAGAGAGAGAGAGAGAGAGAGGAGAGAGAGCAGAGAGAGAGAGAGAGAGAGAGAGAGAGAGAGAGAGAGAGAGAGAGAGAGAGAGAGAGAGAGAGAGAGAGAGAGAGAGAGAGAGAGAGAGAGAGAGAGAGAGAGAGAAAGAGAACGAGAAAGAGAGAGAAAAAAAAGAGAATAAGAATTAGAGAACGAGAAAGAAAGACAGAGAGGACATATGTGATTTTTACGACACATTTTTTATTGAAGTTTTATGGATGTTTCACTTCTACTTTTTACGAGCTGCATTTATTATTTACGAGAGTTTTCTGCGGTTTAAGATTTATGACAAGAACGACGGCAGCTTCAGTCTGACGTTTGTGTGTATAGAGGAATTAATCTAATCTCTTTACAATTAGCATTTTTAATTTTTTTTTTTCATTAGGTATTAGTGTCGAGTTACTGAACATAATGTCTAGTAAGTTCCATATTTCATTTGATTTCTGATTCATGTTTTCATTTTTCATAAGCACGTGCATGTGTAAGTACATACGTATATACATACAATCATACATGAATGCATACATACATATGTACATACTTATATACATTGATATATAAATGAATGCTTTCACGCACACACACACACACGCAGGCACACACACAAGCACGCACACACACAACACGCACACACACACCACACACTTCCGGACCTGGCAACAAGTGCGAGCGCGCGCGCGGCGGGGCCTCGGCGCGCCGCCACGGAGAGCGTCGCCGTCAGCGCCGCCTCGGCCGCCTGCGGACACCGGTTCTTCCTTCCTGCCCTAAGCTGACACGGGAAAGTCGGACTCTACTTACCGAACTGACTTCTCATCCACGGGTAGAGCGGCGAAGGGAGGGCGGCTTGGGTATTTTGTTGCTGCGGCTGCTGGGCTGGCCATCCCTGGCCATGTTCCTGCGCGGCCATGTGGTGGGCTGTGTCTTGAGGAGGACCTCCGGACGGATCCATGCCCGGCTGCTGCTGTGGTTGCTGCGGCGGACCCTGCTGCTGCCCCGCCATCTTGCAGGAGGAGTACTGCTGCACGGGCGGGGACGCTTGCTGGCCCATGCACGTGGGCGCCGCGGGCGAGGGGTCGCGGTAGTCGTGGGCGTCGTGCGGTTGCATGCCGTGTGGAGTCTGTGGGTGCTGAGGTGTTTGCGCGTTGTAGTAATTGTTCATGAGTCTGTCGTAGGGCGGGTAGCGCGGGTAGCCTTGCTGAGTGTAGTACGGGTGTGTGGGGGGCATGCGGGGGTCGTACTCCTGGCCGCAGTGCCCCCCGCCGCCCCCGCCGCCTCCTGGCCGCCCGGCGCGCCCGGGTATTCGTCGGGCGGTGGGGCGGCCGGTAGTCGGGGTAGCTGTTGTAGTAGGCGGACATGTGGGACATGTCCGGGGCGGGCGGGTAGGCCGCCACGGGGGCCGAGTTGGCAGCCACGGTGCTGTGTTGTGGGGGGGCGTCAGGCAACCCGCCGGCCAGCTCGCAACCAACCTGCGGGAGGAAAGGCGGTCAGCTGTGTCGGAGGACTCCGTTGACTATGCTAAGGGCATGCGGTTAGTTATATGATAAGGATAATTAGAAAAAAGAAAAAATGTGTATACACACACACACACACACACACACACACACAAACAAACACACACACACACCACACACACACACACACACACACATATATATATATATATATATATATATATAATATATATATATATATATATATATATATATATATATATATATATAATATATATATATATATATATATATATATATATATATATATATATATATATATATATATATATATATATATATAACATAACATAACAAATCCTTATTTTCCCTATATCAATATTATGTACAAAATCCATTTCAATATCAAGAATAAAAAAAAAGAAAAAAAAATATTATGTACATGTCTATGTGTGTGTGAGAGTATGAGAGTATGTGTGAGCATGTATATATATTGATTGAATAAAATATTGCATTTAACGAAAATGTAGGGAAAACTATTTCTTGCAAACTGGAATGCTATTAAAAACTAAGGATGAAAAGACAGTTAAGCATAATTCATTATGTTTAAGGAAAATACTTATGAGGACGTAATGGAAAAAAAAGGTATATATCATATATATATATATATATATATATATATATATATATATATATATATATATATATATATATATATATATATATATATATATATATATATGCGTGTGTGTATATCGGACTTCTACATGTATTCACTATTTCCATGGAACCATGAAGAGAAGTCAAATCATCTGTGGAAACTATCATTATGACGCCCATGAGTGCGACAGCTGCTTGTAATATTAGAGAGAGAGAGAGAGAGAGAGAGAGAGAGAGAGAGAGAGAGAGAGAGAGAGAGAGAGAGAGAGAGAGAGAGAGAGAGAGAGAGAGAGAGAGAGAGAGAGAGAGAGAGAGAGAGAGAGAGAGAGAGAGAGAGAGAGAGAGAGAGAGAGAGAGAAGAGAGGGAGAGAGAAGAGAGAGAGAGAGAGAGAGAGAGAGAGAGAGAGAGAGAGAGAGAGAGAGAGAGAGAGAGAGAGAGAGAGAGACAGACAGACAGACAGACAGACAGACAGACAGACAGAGACAGGACAGAGACAGAGAGAGACAGACAGGAGAGAGAGACAGACAGAGAGAGAGAGAGCGAGAGAGAGGGAAGGAGGAAGCTCGTAGAGTGGGGGCTGTGGTAGAGCAGGGGGCGTAGGGGGGCGGGGGAGCGAGGAGGGGGTGTAGAGAGCGGCTCATTCACACGATCATAATCTCCCGGGGTCGCCACGCGCTCTGCCATAACACGTTTGTGTGAACAGTCGCAGTAGCCCCCTGCCCTCCCCCCCTCCTCCGCCCTCGAGCCTCTCTTCTCTCTCTCTTTCCTCCTCCGTCCTTTTTCTCTTCTCTCTCTTCTCCTCCGTCCTTTTTCTCCTCTTTCCCTCACTCCTCCTCTTTGCATAGTCTTCTCTCTCTCCCTCCCTCTCCACCCTCTTCCTACTTTCCTCTTACTCATCTCCCTCCTTACTCCCCTCTCTCCCTCCCTTCCTCACCCCTCTCTCTCCCTCCTCCTTCCCTTCCTCCCATCTCTCTTTCTCCCTTCCCCGCCTCCATCCACTCTCCCTCTCTCCCTCTCTTCTCCCCACCCGCCTGCGCTCCCCTCGTCTCCTCCCCTTCTCCCCTCCCCCCTCCTTAACCCCGCTCCCCAGCTGGACTTCTGACGACTCGGCCTAAGCTGTGATCACACCAATTTTTCCCGAACCGAACTTTGTGCTGCGGGTATTAATGCTGTCGGGTATGACCGCTACGTTCGATTCGGGGGGGGGGGGGGAATATCACTCTCTCTCTCTCTGTCTGTTTGTCTCTGGCTGTGTCTGGCTGTGTCTGGGTCTGTCTGGCTGTCTATCTCTCTCTGCTTCTCTTTCTCCGTTTCTGTCTGTCTGCTTCTTTATCTGTCTACTTTTTTCCTTTCTCTCTCTCTCTTCCTGTTCTTTTCTTTCTCATCTTATCCGCTTCCTTTTCATCTCTCTCCCTTCCTGCTCCTTTATTTCTCCCCCTTCCTTCATTCCCCCCCTTCTCTCCTCTCTCCCACCCTTCCTCCCTCCTTCTCTCCCCTTCCCCACCCTCCCTCTACCTCTCCTTCCCTCTCCCACTCTGTCCCCCCTCCCCCCCTCCCTCTCCCCCTCCATACCCATAGCATCTGCAGTCACCTGGTTCCCGCGGCCATGGACCTCGCCCCAAAGGTTCATATAATGTGGTGTAGCGGCCAGTTGAACCTCCGTAATTGCTTGGCTGTTATATTATTGATTAGCAAACTATATAGGCTGGCGGGGGGGGGGGGGGTAATATTTCATGTCGGGGAAGGCCGGTTCGTGTCAATGGGTGGGGGCGGGGCTCATCACACTCAGCGCCTATTGCAAAATTGATGTTTGCTTCGTGTAAATACCTCACCGTACTTATATGCGTGCGTTCATACTTACATGTATACGTACGTGCATACATGAGTACTTCCATACAGATAGACATAAACACATAAATGCATATAGATATATACATACGTACATCTATATGTATGCATTCATACACACACACAACAGATACATACATACATACACATATATGCGCCAACATACTTAATGACAAAGGAACTGCTGAATAATATGATAAAAGACGCTATCAAGCAAATATGAAATAAATGCACACAAAATATATTGAATAATAGAAAACAAGATGAATAAAATAGGCCATGTTCACTCAGAGATCCGTTGACTACAGCCCTTCGCCCTCTCCCCACTCCGCCCTCTCACCATCCTCATTCCCCTTCTTACCACCCCTTACCCTCCCCATTATCACCCCCCCCCCCCACTAAAACCCTCTCTCATCACCCCTCACCCCCTCTAAAACCCTCTCTCATCACCCCTCACCCCCCCTAAAACCCTCTCTCATTACCCCTTCCCTCCCCCCTCCCCCCTAAAACCCTCTCTCATCACTCCTTGCCCCCTCTCCTCACAGCCTAACCCATTCTCTCACCATCCTTCTGCTAGCTCCTCTTCACTATTCTTAGCCCCTCCTCTTACTCTCCTAGCTCCACCCCCCCCTCCCATGTTACCACCTATGCTGCAAGGCCCCACTGCAAGGCCCCCCTCATCTATCCTTGCCCCCCCCCTCTCACCACCATCACACTATTCCTAACACCCTCACCTTCCTAACACCCTCCTCCCACTTCTTCACCTTCCTTCGCCCCTCCCCCACCACCCTCGCCCCCTCCCTTACCACCCTCGTCCTCCTCCCCACCACCCTCCCTCTCCTTCACCACCTTCACCCCTCCCTCACCTCCCCTCGCGCCCTTACTCCCCACCCATAGCCCCCTCCCTCACCACCCCAAACCATCTCCACCTTTTCCTTCTAAATACGAGAAACGTGAGAAAAGTGTCATTATGACGAGTCTCAAGGCAGGCCTGTCATAATGACACCGGATGTCGTCGTGAATAATGGCCAGCATTGACAGGCCGGCGGAAGAGCTCAATAAAGTCTATGATAATTATACGACCCACTCGCGCCCTCGTCTTGTGTGTTGCGAACGTTCTTGCACGATGCACCACTTCTCTTCGGTTTCTCTTTAATTCAGTTTCTGGTTTTATGTGTTTTGTTGTCGTTATTAGTATCGTTTTTTTTCTTTTCATTAGAGGTCATCAGTTTTTTTTCATGGTTAGATTGTATGGGTGTTATTTTTCAGCTTTTCAAAGTTGTTATTTTTCATCTTGAAGGTATTTTATATATAAGATGCTTGAATAGGTTTATGCACACATGCAAAAACAGCCAATGACACTCACACATGTACACAAATACATACACGCCTACCCAACAACTCACATCCACTCACATACATAGACACCTATATACACACGTACACACACATCTCCCCCACCCATCCACCCACAACTATTCACACACACACATCCCCACACCCATCCACCTACCAGCACACACACACACACACACACCTCCCCCGCCCATCCACCCACAAATATTCACACACACATCCCCACACCCATCCACCTACACACACACATACACACACACACACACACACATCCGCACAGTAGATGAGCCATGAAGCTTCAGCGAGCGTCTCGTGACAGAAGGGTGACACAGCCAGCAATGATCTCTACGGCAGTTGTGACAGCGTGACAGTTATTAATAGCATCGTCATACAGGTACGTGGCACTTGTTCGTCGTCCATGCACCAGCGCGCCGTGCATGAACTGGCAGGAACTCACAATGCCATGAAGATCTGCATGATCGACTGGGATTGCATGTCTACCACACGTTTCCCAGGGACTCAGGACGAACGCAAGTCGCATAAAAAGGGAAGGAGTATATCATGTCTCTATATTTTTTTACGTGACACTAAAACCCTCGTATGGAATCAAAAAAAAGGTAAAGTGAAATATCAAAACAAAGTGAAAGAAATAATACACAAACCATATTGTTTATATCCGTTTGAAGTGTCGAAGAAGAAGAACAACGAGAGAAAGAAACAAAAACTTCCTCCCCAAGGCAAGGTAAGCTATCTCTCGGTGTCGCGTTTCTTGGCAAAAGTTTTCGGTCTTGTCACCTCATTCCACACGGCCTGACCACCACCACTAAGCCACGCACCACACACACAGTGCCACCAACACCAAGTAAGGCCCCCCGTGTGGCACTAACGTTCGGCCCCAACACGCGGATTGTCGAAGGCTGCGTGTCACGGGCGTTGGTTTTCTTTGAGTTCGCAAGGTTTTACAGAGCACCGCCTCCTTCCGCGGGGTTAAACTCCTCTCTCGCTGCCCTCGCTCGCTCGCTGGCACCCACCCACCCGGCACACCTTTCCCAGCTGACACGTGCTATATCACACGAGGATAGTGCCACGAAAATCCGCCTCTCTCCCCCACCACACTTTGCTGGCACTCACTGCCCTGGCGTGTCA